CCGCCCGCCTCCCCGCTCCCGCCCTCCCCGACCCACGCCCGGGCGCGCCAATCGCTGCTCTGTGTCCCGGGCGCTTCCTCGGGTTTCTGCTGATCTTGCAGCGCCCAGAAATGGGCCGAGCGGACCCGCCGCCGCACGCGCCCTGCCGCACTCCGGGCTCCTGAAGGCCCCCGGCGAGGTCCACGCTGGGCTGCGGGGAGCCGAGGGCAGCCGAAGGCCATGTAGATCCAGGCTCTCGCCCGCGCTCCCATAGTGTGACGAGGGGGCGACGGTGCTGCTTATCGTCATTCGCTCCAGAGCTTCGGGAGAGGGTGGCATCTTTCTTTTCCACCCCGCGTCCTCCGGAACTCCCTGCCCCGGAGAGAAGACGGCATCTCCAGGGTGCTGACAACGGGCGAGAATGGGGTTAGGGAAGGGACACTCCCACCGTAGCTGCTCAGTAAAGCGACTGTCCAACTGAGCGGCGGGGGACGAGCGGACGAGGGCGGCGAGTTTGCCCGGAGCCCCCCTCCGGCTGCCGCTGCCCGGGTGCTGCAAAGGCGACCTGCCGCATTCCGACGGGCTCAACGCCGACTCAGCACCGCCGCTGCGCCAAGCCGGCCGGCCGGCCAGGTAAGGGGCGCCCCAGCTCCGGGGCGACGTGGTCGGGGAGGCCGGGGGTGCGGGGATTGGGCCCGGGACCCGGAGCCACCCTAGCGTCTCTCGGCGCTTTTCCGATCTCGAGTTTAAAGAAGTTATAAACAGATCGGCTGTTGGGCCTTGGGGAGCGCGGGATGCAAGAGCCCCAGACTCGGGTTTTCGGGTGTCCGTGTGTGTGTCTGTCTGTGTGCATGTGATAACCCTAGTGAAGTGCAGTGCGTTCTAAAAAGCGAGAGGTCTGTGTTCCTCGGTGTCTGTAGGTCGGTCCCCTCTGAATGCCTCTGATTCTCTACCCCCGTATCACTTTCTATTTCTCTGCAGCGTCCATCGATCGCCCCGGTGGGAGCTTAGAAGGCGGCAGGCGAAGAGGGATAGGAGGGGGTAGAGCCGAGGAGAAGCAGAGGGGGTGGCAGGCGTGGGGATCCGCTGAGCTGGCGCTGCACCGGGTCCTAGGAGGGCTCGCAGGGGGAGGGGAGGCCGGGGCAACCCCCGGAGCAGCGATGGCCCGGTCCGCTAGAACCGTCGTGCATTGAGTCACCTCGGAGCCAGAAGGGAAAAAAAAAAAAAAAAAAAAAAAAAAAAAAGCAAAAGCCCAACTCTGGGCCACAAGCTGCACCCGGGCCCGCGGGCAAGGGGATTCCAAACTGAGCAAAAGGCGGGCTGGAGGGGAAGTAACGAGAAGCGAAATTGCAGAGCGCTGGACCTGCTCGCTTTGAAAGCCCCAGCCCCTGGGCGTGGGGGACACGCGCACTCCGGTGGGGGGGGGCGCTCGGGTCCCCCCCACCCCTGTCCCCTCCTTGCTGCCCACCCCGGGCTCTCTCCTGGCCTCCCGCCCCTGCACCCGGCCTCCACCATGACGGTGATGTCTGGGGAGAACGCGGACGAGGCCTCGGCCGCCCCCGGCCACCCGCAGGATGGCAGCTACCCCCGGGCCGCCGAGCACGACGAGCACGAGTGCTGCGAGCGCGTGGTCATCAACATCTCCGGGCTGCGCTTCGAGACGCAGCTCAAGACCCTGGCGCAGTTCCCCAACACGCTGCTGGGCAACCCCAAGAAGCGCATGCGCTACTTCGACCCCCTGCGGAACGAGTACTTCTTCGACCGCAACCGGCCCAGCTTCGACGCCATCCTCTACTACTACCAGTCGGGGGGCCGCCTGCGCAGGCCGGTCAACGTGCCCCTGGACATGTTCTCCGAGGAGATCAAGTTTTACGAATTGGGCGAGGAGGCCATGGAGAAGTTCCGCGAGGACGAGGGCTTCATCAAGGAGGAGGAGCGCCCCCTGCCGGAGAAGGACTACCAGCGCCAGGTGTGGCTGCTCTTCGAGTACCCCGAGAGCTCGGGGCCCGCCAGGGTCATCGCCATCGTCTCCGTCATGGTCATCCTCATCTCCATCGTCATCTTCTGCCTGGAGACTCTGCCCGAGCTGAAGGATGACAAGGACTTCACGGGCGCCGTCCGCCGCGTGGACAACAGCACGGTCCCCTACAGCGCCAACATCTTCACGGACCCCTTCTTCATCGTGGAAACCCTGTGCATCATCTGGTTCTCCTTCGAGCTGGTGGTGCGCTTCTTCGCCTGTCCCAGCAAGACGGACTTCTTCAAGAACATCATGAACTTCATCGACATCGTGGCCATCATCCCGTATTTCATCACCCTGGGGACCGAGGTGGCTGAGCAGGAGGGGAACCAGAAGGGCGAGCAGGCCACTTCGCTGGCCATCCTCAGGGTCATCCGGTTGGTGAGGGTGTTTAGAATCTTCAAACTCTCGCGCCACTCCAAGGGCCTCCAGATCCTGGGCCAGACCCTCAAAGCCAGTATGAGAGAGCTGGGGCTGCTCATCTTCTTCCTCTTCATCGGGGTCATACTGTTTTCTAGTGCAGTGTACTTTGCCGAGGCTGAAGAAGCTGAGTCGCACTTCTCCAGTATCCCCGATGCTTTCTGGTGGGCGGTGGTGTCCATGACCACTGTAGGATACGGTGACATGTACCCTGTGACAATTGGAGGCAAGATCGTGGGCTCCTTGTGTGCCATCGCTGGTGTGCTGACAATTGCCCTGCCCGTACCTGTCATTGTGTCCAATTTCAACTATTTCTACCACCGAGAAACTGAGGGGGAAGAGCAGGCTCAGCTGCTCCACGTTAGTTCCCCTAATTTAGCCTCTGACAGTGACCTCAGTCGCCGCAGTTCCTCTACTATGAGCAAGTCTGAGTACATGGAGATCGAAGAGGACATGAATAATAGCATAGCCCATTATAGGCAGACCAATATCAGAACTGGCAACTGCACCACAGCTAACCAAAACTGCGTTAATAAGAGCAAGCTACTGACCGATGTTTAAAAAAAAAATTTAACAGAAAAGCCTCAGTTAGCAGCTCAAAAGACTAAAAAAACAAACGGAAACCCTAGTGACTCATGTCATACTTTGTAGATACTTTACTGAATAGTCTTGAATGCTCTACTTAACTGTCAATGCATTGTTGCATTGTGGATTTGGGGAGTAGAGAGCCAGAAGCTCTCAAGTACCATGAAAAAAGAAACTATTTTCATTTTGTTAAAAAATGGGAAAAGAAAGAGTATTTTCTAAAACTGGCTTTAAAAAATTCAGTCCATGAACTAGTCTAGGTAAAATAAAATTCTTATGCTTCCCCACCCTGAAACAGTTTTAATCCTTTGGCTTCTTTAACTTTTTTTTTTTTTTAAATTGAAAACCAGATGATCACTTAGAAATCTAAAATTAAACTTTGCATGGGACTCCAACATAAAACTCTGCAAACTGTACAGCACATTTACGACAGTGCATCAGATGTATTATATGTAACGTGATATACCAGACAAAGGGCAATGAGCAAACGTTCTTATTTTAATCAACTGAACTGCATATTATAAGGTAAAAAAAAAACCAAACCAAAACAAAAACCAAACAACAAATTACTTACGACCGGTTTACAAAGCATCATGTAAATCTGATACTGGTTCTGACCTGTAGGGATTTTCCCCCTGTTCCATTCTTTTTCTAACCTAAACTATACTCTAAGGAAAAGATAACTGAATTAAATTAGTCGATTCATCTGCAGTGCTGCTAAGTTTTCTCAACTGTAGATGAGCCCAATACAAGTCTTTTGTCACAAGTCCTGCACCCTGATCCCTGGCCTTCAGAACTGGATGTGAAATCTTGGCCTCCTTATTGCAAGAGAGCACACATGAAGTTAAATGTAAGCATGTTTGAATCTGAGAACACTTATTTTATAATCGCATGCTGAGAACGTTAACCCAGACAATAGGGGATAAGCTTACGTTGAAATTGACTCTCCTAAAAATCGATCCTTTTTCATTTGCATTCACCAAAAGTGCACTCCTTCATTTATTAACTATTTTATTAGTAAATAAAGTACTGTATTTAAGTGCATATGTTACTCAGATGGGAACAATAACTTTTTGGAGCTCAAAGCATGTTCTCTTATTCAGCATTATGGCCTATTTGACTAAGATGTACCTTGAATTAATTAGTGCATGATTTCAGTAATAAAAATTTTAAAAATAATAAAAATTACAAGTCTGTGGGATGAAAGGCCCAAAAGAAATAATGGGGGGTGGGTGTGGGGGGTCGCTCAGTCAATTTTCCTGCCTTTGCTCAGGGAAATGTCAAGTTTCTGTGCAGGTGTAAGCAGAGAGAGGACCAAGATGCCCAACCCTTAAAGGGAAGCTATGTGGAAAACTAAATAAGTCATCGAGGTATATATAGCAGCTCCTAAGAACACATATTCTTTCTAGCTGAAGATAAACAAACAAACAAACAAACAAAAGGTGCAATACTGCATGTTTTTTGGTGCATTCTTAGGTGTAAATGAAAATGTTTATCTATTGTATGCATCCAAAGCAGAGCTGATTTCTTTTTGCAGTCATGACTTGAAGTCTGTAGAGACTTCGGCCCTCCCCTTGAGGCTCCCTGAAGAAACTCAACCAATTGATTTAATAGTTGCTTAGTGCCTTTATCTTGTACCCACAGTGAACTGCAGAAAGTGCCTCCATAACATAGCTGAGAAGTTATGTAACAAGAGGGAAGAAGGGTTGGGGCACAGATATTTTGCTTTTCTTTCTCCATCCTCGCTCTCTCACTTCACCATTGTGCGAAGACCACACCACCCTAAACCCTGGAGAGGAGAGACGCAGGAGGTTGCTGTCTCTCTGGCCATCCACTGGACCTGGTACCTGTGCCAGCCTGACGCTGGATGTGAACAAAGACCCATCTTTGAACTGGACACAAACCATGAACTA